CACCAATTTAACATGTTTAGCTCTCTAACATTTAAATGCCACACTCCACTGTCTAAGAGAAAAAAATTGAATGAACATTTTTTAATGTATGGCCACTGCACAGAACACTGCCATATGATAGAAATATTTACACTGTGCGCATACAATTATTATTATTATTTTCCTAATCCCTGACTGATCATTTTTAATCTAGCGTGTATTATAGTATAGATTAAATTCATCATCCAGCTGCTGCTCTGAATCACGCCATCTAGCGGAAAATCACGCGGCTTTTTCAAATTACGCGAGAATGTGTACAAAGCAACAAAAATGGCGCCGGCAACGCTTGTGGGTCGTTTTCATCGAATGTTGATGATTTTAAAGTAATTTTGAGTGATAATTTTTTTTTTTTTTCGCAATCACAATGAAATTTGTACTCTCCCAACAATAAAAACTACTTGCCCCGGGTGATCGGGCGATGGTTAACATCGAGCCCTGATTAGCCTGATGAGCCACACTCATTTCAATGCAATTTTAAGCCTTTGTATATTGTTAAACTTTTTTTTTTTTTTTTTTTTATTCTTCTGGTCACCCTACTCAAACGACCTCAACATTTTGGTAACATTTTTTTATTGGGTCATTTATTTTCCAATATTTGTAAGTGTATTTAACTAATGGAATCTGTGATTCTGTTTTGAAGGCAAGTTCCACGTAGAAATCATAGAGTTTTTCATGGTAATAAATGTTTCTTATGCCTTTAATTAGTTGGCATTTTTTATTCCCATGGTAACAAAAATTGTTTTTGTATCATGGCAACTTATCGTAGTAAGCAGATAATAGATGTCAGCCTGATTACGGAGTGTATTTTGTTCCATTATTTGAAGATAGGAACGTGTTTTGTAAATTGAAATTTGAAAAAAAAAAAATAATCAGAAAGGAGAATTTACAAATGAAAAATACATCTTGAGAGTAACCTTGATGTTTACTCAAGTTTTGACTTAAAAAAAAAATATAGGATTATTGATTACTAATTTTATTTATGAGTCAAACAATGCAGCCACATTCTTAAAATGAAAAAGCATTTCTGAAAATGCTTTTTTATTTGAAATATGGTACGATTTGCTTCCATAAATTTGAGCAGCTAAATAAGATCTGCCCATAAAATGAGTATTTTTACCCTTAGAATAAGAAAATTAAATATTATTCACTAGTTGGAGGGACAATAAGTTTTTTTTGTTTTGTTGACATTTTAAATGTAAATGATCTAATTCCATTGGCAAAACTGTCTTACTTTCGTTATCCAAGAGAAAAGGACACTGGAAATGTTCCCTGCTTGTGATCGGCTCGCTCCATGAGGCAACACTAATGATGAGTCATGATTATAGGTCATGCTTTACATGATGTTTGTTCTCCCTCTGCTGTTCTTCACAGAATATCCCACAACAGACCAATGAGAACGACTGTGGAGTCTTTGTCTTAGAGGTACGTCCTCCGCTTGTAAGCTTTCATTCTTTTGACCAAAGCTTGTTGAAAGGCTGCATCTAAACTAGCTGCAGGTGGTTTAATGATCACCAATCAGTGCGTTAACCCAACGTAAGGGTTGAAAGGCATCAGTGCCGTGATTTCCAAAGTTTAATTCCTCCCTGCCCAGGGTTCCCGCGGGTCCTTAAAAAGTCTTAAAAGGCATTGAATTCTTCAAAATAAAACTAAGGCC